TAAACTCAGGATGACTTTCCTATGTGAAGACATTTAAAAGCTAATCATGATGTTAACTTGCATTTGCTTCACCCATGACATTAACAACAGCATTAGGAATGAATTTGAAGTTTGGTTGCCTAGTAAGACTGTAATGTTCATTGACTGGAAGTTAGGAACTTGTACAATTTTTTAAAATTTTGTGTTGAGGATTGCTGTTTTGCCAAAATCAACATTTTGTATGTCTCCTTACACTTGTATTCTTTCATATGTAATATTCTTGACATGGAATCAGTTGATCTTGACTGTGATGGGCGGGGAGGGGGGAAGAGATCTACAAACATTTGAACCAATGTGAGAAGTGCATGACAGCTGAAATTCCAGATGGCAGATACAATCTCTGTCTTCTAATGAACTACATCTGTTCTTACTGTATTAGTCATTCTGAAAAATGCTGTAGCTGTATCTTTGTATCCTAGTGAGTAACCCTAGAATGACTTTCAGTGCAGCTTTTAATATGCTTAAAATCTTCCTCAAGGTGGAAAAGGAGACAAGGGAGTAGTAGTAATGTCTTGGAGTTACACCAGTGGGCAAAAGATACTCTACTTGAGAATCCTAAGGGGATGGTTTAAGAATCTCTAGTTGAGTTAAGGACTGATTGATTAAAACCCTGATCTATATAGGTAGAGAAACTGAAGCAGTTGCTTGCAACTGCTGTTTAAAGTGCTGAGAAGCAAGAGACATTTTTATACTTGAGGACAGGAAGGGAGTAGTGTCACACTGCTTTAAGCATTTTCTATAGGTTTCTTTTGTGGAAAATCTTAAGGAAAGAGCAATGCTGCTATACAGGACTTTTCTTCTTAATTTGAATTTGAAGAATGCACTAAATGGTTAGTCTTGTGGAAATGATCATAGTACTAGAAGAGACATCTCTTTCTGTTTGTAGGTGTTCCAGCGGGATGGGAATGACTTGCATATGACACACAAGATAGGGCTTGTTGAAGCACTGTGTGGATTTCAGTTCACATTTAAGCACCTCGATGGACGTCAGATTGTGGTTAAATATCCTCCTGGAAAAGTAATTGAGCCAGGTAAGACTGACCTGATAAGGACTCCTCTGACCTTTGACAGAAGGACCCCGCCCTGTGACAAAAACACAGAAGTGTTTTTGTGGTTCTTGAACACTTCATCCTATTCTTATTTTGTTACTTGAAGACAGACTGGAGAGAGACTTCTAAGACTTGTTCTGAAGCATCTCTTTCTGCTTGCTTCTGTTTCTATTACAGGTTGTGTTCGTGTAGTTAGAGGTGAAGGGATGCCACAGTACCGCAATCCTTTTGAGAAGGGGGATCTTTACATTAAATTTGATGTTCAGTTTCCTGAAAATAACTGGATTAGTCCAGAAAAGCTTTCAGTAAGTGCTCTTTCTATCTTGAATAGAAAGTATTCTTACTTGGCAGTGTGTAGAGGGCTTGTGTTGTACTTGGATGCTTGCTTTCCAGTATTTAAATTTTGATGCAAGTACAATTACTTAATTCTTTTAACATTGTTTAGAGGGAACATGTGGTTTGAAAATACTTGTTGGAGTGTAAGTTTCTGGAACATGCCTTTCAGGACAGTGCAAATCCTTTAAGAGCAGGAGGAAAAACTTCTTGCAATAGCTGCTACCATGTGATAAGTGTGACTGTGTTTACTGATTGTACTTTAGGCAGTGATATGTGGAGCTGCAAGCTCTCTTTAAGTGACATCTTCCACTTGATGTAAATACTTCTAAATGATGTAGATACCTCTAAATGAGTTTGCTTCCTGGTTTGCATTAGCTTAAATGCATACTTAAAAACTGAAGTCTGCTGTCTGAAGGCTTGAAATGGCAGGAAACTAGGCCCTGTATTTAGCAGTTGGAGATGCAGTGCTGAATGTACTTCTTTTCTTGGGCAGGAACTTGAAGATCTTCTGCCAGCTAGACCTGAATTCCCTAACGTAATTGGTGATACAGAAGAGGTAGATCTTCAGGAATTAGATACCACTCGTGGTTCAGGTGGTGGCCACAGACGTGAAGTTTATATCGATAGTTCTGATGAAGAAAGCAGCCATCATGGACCTGGGGTACAGTGTGCCCATCAGTAAACGTTGTCTAAAAAGTTGCACAAGGATTTTTCTTTCAATTTTTGCCTGACTTGTTTTCAACAATCTAACTGGATTGTATAAGTAATCCAGATGAACCAATGGACATCTATTGCTGTATGTGTAACTTTTAAATTGGTCTATAGTATCTACAGAGTGTAATTTAAACTAACCACAAAGCTTACATCTTCATTTTTGACTGTGTAGCAGAATAAAGCACTTGAAAGGAAGACAAGACTCCTTTTCACATGGGTTTTAAGTTTGTCCTTGTATCTGTGCTTGATTTTTATCAGTTTTGTGTAGATTTTAAGTTTCATATTTTAAATTTGAATTCTACATTGTAAAGTTTGTGTACAATTTGTCCCAAGGCTTGGTATTTGGCTGCACCTGCATAAGCTGCTACAAGTAGAATAAAGAATTTCATAGCCTGTATCTATCATCTAGATGCATGGTAAATGGGCTTTGCACATAATGGGTTTAGAGCTGACTGGGAACAATGGAAGACTAAATTAGAAGTGGTTGTAAGTTGTTTTTTTTTTCTTTTTTTTCTACCATCTTGTGAACGGTTTCTGAAATTAAATAAAAGCAGTTGGTGTATAATATATTTCTTTTGCCTTGTAACTTCTGCTTTTCCAGTGGTTTTAACTACTGCTGTGCACCAAGGTAGAGGTAAACATAGGCTGAAGCTGCTTTTTAAGAGCAGATCAGGGATAGATAAAGAATTTGGTGTGCTACATGCAAAGTAGTGTTTTTTTGAAATAAGATATGATTGGCCACGGGGAAGAGTGTTGCCATCTTCCTTTTAGATGAAGAAAATACTCGGGTATCTGAGTGCAGTCAGAAGATACCCAAATCTTCTACTCCTAAAACAACGGTGTCTTTTAATCCAGGAAAATCAAAGCCTGGTTTACCCTGACTTTTAGAAAAACACTTTTTGTTTTTGCAAAGATAACTTAAAAGTGAATGTAATGCTTGACAACTTGTGGTTGCATTACTTTGTAATAATTTCTAATTACTTTGGCATTGTCCTGGATAGTTTTTGGATTGGAAACATGCTCAGTATAGCTGTTGTTGGTGTATTTTCAGCAGCTTGCATGTTTTCATGTTTAAGATTTAAAGTTTTCTACCATAGACCTCTTTTATGTGATTTTAATGGTTAAGATACATCAGCTAAGCAAAATCTAAGCCTTACAGAATGATGGAGTACAGTTGCTTAGATAAGTTTTGTTAGTGCTCTTTTTATGGTAGTGAGAAACTGCATGAACTTTATAGTCAGTCAGTTGCTTCTTTGTAGTGTTGTTCCTTTTACCACAGAGGAGAGGAAATTAGGAGAATCCTCTGCTTTTCTTTGGAAGCCTGAAATGTGTAACTTGTTTAATGGTAGCTCAGATAGTTGTTGACACTGTTTACTAGCTGGAGAGAACAGCTCCAAGCCTCTCTGTGTACCTGGGTGTGATCCGCATTTGAGATTATCACTGAGCAATCTCATTTTGGAATCCAAAGTAAGAATAAATCTTGTTTGACCTGTATCTCAATACCGCCTTTTTATACTCTGTGGCACTCTCAGCTAGTGACTCTTTGTTTAGTAATTTCTCTGTACTTTTCATGAAGCCAACGTTCTGTACTGGTCCTCCTTACAGTTCATTTTTACCAAGAAGCTGGTCATCTGAACTTGTAATGCTTATTAACACCCTGGTTGTCTTCCTTGTCTCCTAAAACTTCAGGAAAGTTTTAGTTAATAAGGGAACTCACCCTTTGGGGGTGGGGGGAACTTACTGTACAAACTTCTGTCTTATGAGTCTGAAGCTGCATTTTTCTTGATGTAGGGGTGTGGTGGGAGTTCATGATGATCTTTTGGATTGCCTGCTGATATAAGGAACAAAACTTCAACATGAAATGTGAATGACCTTTGTTCTGTTTTGGGCCTGAGTGTTTGTTAAATTAGGCTCTGGAGGGTGGTATCTTTGAGTAAGGTCAGGGTTTTATTTCTTAGCAGAACAGAACAGTATGCCTCTTCTATTGAATCTTAAATAAATAGTGTAGGCTTCCTAGCTTAATGGTAACTCATAATAATAACTTCAGTTGTTTGAGAAGTCCTTGGCCTTCGTAACAGCTAGATAGTGTATCTTGTGGACTTGCCCTTGGTGTTGGATACAAGAAGCTTTAGCAGCTTGTTTTTGGTGACTAAAAGGATTAAAATCCTTTAACTACAGTAGCCACACTTAACAATAGATGTTTTTCTTAATATTTCTCTAATATGACTACCCCCCCCCTCTTAACTACAGCAAGACCCCTAAAACATCCTACCCTTTCTAGACCTTGGCCTGTGCTTATCAAGAAGCTGAGAGCTTGTTTATTATTCTTACCAATTTAAGGACAGATTTTTATTAGTCCAAGCTGTGCTGCTCTTCACAGAACTAAGTCTTCATGAACATAATTATGACCTAAAGTTGTGTTCTGTACATTTCTCCATACAATGTTTATTTCTAGTTTCTGTGGAACAGAAAGCCCACTTCTAATAAGGTAGACTTAATAGGTTTAATTAACTTCATGTTCTTTACCCTTTTTCTCATATCTTTCATGGCATGAAAACATTTCCTTTAGTTGAAGCTTGTGACCTCTGTCTCATGCAAAATTAATGGCGGAGGAAAAAAAATTAGAAGCTAATCTCTATTTATTTTTTTTAAGTGCTATACGACAGCTCTTCCTGCTACCTCTTAGCCCATTAAAGCCTCAATATTACTTATAGAATCTGTATCCAAGGAATAATAATACTCAATCTTCTGGAACTACTGGTACACGCACCAGCACTAGTTTCTCAGGGACAGTCCTCTGTCTGTGGAAGAGGGCAAGAGCCTTTCCTGCAGTTTCTCAGAAGACACACAATGATGAGTACAAGTGTTAGGAAAATTCGGTTAGACACCATCACCAATGACTCCTTTAACAGAGGAAAACGAGTTACTACGATGGCCCTGGGAAAGACGGAGCATGTATGGCAGCATTCTCCATTCTGCTCAGGTAGGTGATGTGCATGGAAGACAGACATTAAACAGAGTAAGGATGTAACTAAAGCACTAAGATAACCCTGCTTAGAATATCAGGATTGAACTCAAGCTTATCCCCTCTGCTAGTTGTATAAAGCCTGAAATGTGGAATTGCTTCTGCTTTTGAATCAGAGATGAGTTTTTTTAATAGATCACAGTGTAAACTTTATATAAAAACATTTATTGGACAGTACAGAGCTTTATTAAGACATAGAAATACTCTAAACACTTCAGAAGAGGCAAGGAAGGGCTGTCATAAATATTCTGGAGTGAGGAGACGACCCTTATGCAAGTTTCATTAACTTGGTTTAACTGTTGCCTTCCCACACAGTACAGTCAGCTCACTCTAAGGGGAAAGAAAATGAATTTTAATTCAAGCTGATACATGCACTGAAGAGGAAAATAGAGAAGCTAACTAAAACAGGCAAGGAACAAACCTACACTTCCTTTCTACTTAAAGAGGTAGGTACATGTTAGAAAACACAAGTTAGCTTCCACATTTAACTCACACATCTGTGTTAAAGTCTACGAGATTACCCACAAGACTGTAAATTGACTTATACCTGGTGCCTGGGTATATACTGACTGCTAGTGTCCCCTATGAATGTATCCAGCAGCCCCAGCTATGTTTGAACGTAGCAGAGTATGTGCTAGAAGATTATGTTCTACTGTGTTCTGTTCCAAAACAAATTTACTTCCCTAAACCAAAGGTAAGACGGTTGTTATTCAAGTGCAGCAGAGAATTAACAACATTTTTTACCCACCAAGGGAGAAAGATAGAGGGACTGTAACCAGGAGCTGAAACTTAGCTGTGTGCTTGTAAGGCTTTGTCAACAGGAGGTAGAGAATGCTGCTTTGCTTACAAGGTAGGAAAGATATGGGAGAGACTTAAAAAGATGAGGTTATGCTACTGTCCTCCCCCAGACAACTACCAGACTCCATATGCTTATGTAAGCACACTTGCATTATCAGTGTGCAACAGTTCTTGTTCCTCCCACTCCCTGTTCCTCCCTCCAACTTATGCCAACCAATTTACGCTTCCTCTCAGAACAGTTACCTATTTAGAACTTGTGTCAGTCTCATGCAAATCTAGGGCTTAGATGTCAATCTCTATAAGGCCTTTTGTGAATTCTTCTGTAAGTTAATAGTTTTAAGCTTACCACTAAGTTATGAATATGCTGTACTGTATCTTGATTTAGTAGTTGCACATCAATGTTATGGAGATCCCCAGCAGCGGTACAGAATGTCTAAACATGAAGAGAAAATTACAGTTTTCAGATAAAAAACTGAATGTGAGTTAGAGCCATTACTATCAGACTATTCACCTTTTATTTAACAGCTACTGTTAAGCACAAAAAGTAATAAAGGTTCAATACCTTTCCATCAGCCAGGGGAATGTTTACAAAGGGCACAGTTTTATCTTGGGGTATTGATTTACTTCTTAGTAACATGCCTTGAACTCTTCCACTAGTCGGTACAGTTCTTGGGACACCAGGTTGTAGTCTGGCCCTAGAATACAATTACAGCTTTTCTCTGAAATGAGCTTTTTATACCCTGCAGGAGATTCTCAATCATGAACCAATGCAAATAATAGAAAATGTACCTGATCAAAAGGCAAATATGTTTGATTTTTTTCCACTTCTTACAGAAGACCACAGCAAATGAAACATCTAAACATTGTTGGAGGCAGTAGTGCCATTTATTAGCACTGCTAGTGCTGTTTTTTGACCCTGAAACACTTCAGTAACCTTTCAAGGCTATGTTATAGACCAGTGAACATGATGTCATTTAAACCTTTCAACAATAAGAACAACCACTCTCCAATACCAACAGTAAATGCTTATAGTTTTGGAAACAAGTAGCTTCAGGTCTCAGAACTTAAGATAAGACTTACAGCATATCTCTTTATTGCAGCAGGAGATACTAAGAAATACTGAAGCTGCTAGGAATTAACACCCATTAATGTCCTTACTCCAGGGAAGAAGTGTAATGGCTGGCCTCCCTGCTACCCCACATTTAGTAGCAGACACTAAAACTATTCAGCTAGAGATATAAATAGTCTTATTATTTAACAAAATAAGAACAAATCAAAAAAAACTGACCTTTTAGATATCTTTGTCATGTCTTTGTAATTTGTGGCACTGCAATCAGAGGCAAGAGCCTTAACAGCCTCAGTCATATTTGGAGAAGAGTGAGCAGACCTAATATGAGAATTTTTTATAAATTACATATATATATAAAAAAAATCTATTAATTTAGAAAGGGAGCAGAAGAGATTTTATGCTCAGAGAGAGTGAGGGCTCCAATACCTAAATTGCAGACAACTAGGGGAAAATACCTGCAAATCTTTCCTACTGCGTACAGTCTCTAGGCAAGTTTCTTTTTCAGCAGAAATTAGTTTAACCAGATCAGTTCTAAGGAACATTTGTTCTGCAAGGTTAACCTGAATCCAGTAAGAAGTCTTTTCTAGGTTTGGATTTCAATTAAATTCACAGAATGTTTTGATGACAAATTGAACTCCTTCTTTCCTCCTATTCCTCTCACATTTTGGAGATAATAAGGACACGCTCTTGTCCCAGGGTTTGTGTAATTGAAGGTATACAGCCTTCAGACACTGACAAGTTAGACTTCTCCAGGCAAGACAGCCTTCTCCAATTTGATTTTGTTGAGCTAGTTCAAGAAAATAATTAAATCTATTAAATTCTATTTTTTAAGGCACATTAATATTTCAATTGCATCTTGCATTTCTCTGAATTCAAATTGAATGTAACAAAGAATGCAAGTATGTGTACTGCCCAAGGAGCTGCATGGAGAGCTTCTCAAAGAACTCTCTCGCACAGATGTCTAACCTTGCTACCCCTTGTAGCAAGACTTCAGTTTGATTCCCCCTGACTATAGTCAACTGCAGGACATTTCAGCAAGCTTATATTTCCCCCGATAATGATCACTCTCAGCTATACAAGAGGGCAGAAGAATTATGCAACAGTTCATAAGTCCTAATAAGAAGTAACAAAAGGCATTCCCATTATGCGCTCTTAAGTATTGTTTGGAAAACTATACTAATTACATAGAAGCTAAATTCAGAACTGTTCACTGCTTAGGGATCAAGAGATAGAATACATCTGTATCAACGGATGTTTGCTCCTTAATGATGCTTTTAAACTACATTCACAGGACCACAATGCATCTGATTGAGGTTATGAAATACATCTTATCAGATTTATTCTTTCAGGCTCAAATTTCAGTTTGTTTATTTGCAAAATAATTTTACTTTGTGTTTGCAAGTTATGTAAGCTCTCAAAGGTCAGCCTTACCTAGAGAGAGAGTTCAGTTTGCTGTTTAAACCAGAGGCCAGTGAAACCAATGACTTTGTTTTGGATACCTGAAAATGCGTACACAAGTTAGCAGTTGAAAGAAATTTCATTTTAAGACAACACAGATACTTCTGCAAAAAAATATTTTAAGAATTCTCTGCTGAAACAGCGTAGTTAAGTTTCTCAGTGCTGCCTTCTATGTAGTTTTGCATGTAGTTAAAGACAAATATGCATTCCATGGCTAGACTTTTATAATCTAGAATCATGATTGTTAACTCTGAAGTTCTGTATAAATGCAACAATATTTTCATATACAGCCCTATAGATTGTATTATTAGAATATAGATCATAATATAATACATGTGTGCTACAATATATATTATATAAAGAATATATAATTTATATAATATATACTTTATATGTTTATATATTATAAATTATATATACTCATACACTATAAAATATAAAGGAGGACTCTTTCTAATTAAGGTGTGTAACTGTGCACATAATCTTTGTGCCTCAGTTGTTTGTCATCTTGGCACATACTTCAATATCCAGCTGAGCCACTACATTCCAAAGAAGGATTGGTTTTGTAGAATTAATTCAGCTGTGATATATGGCTTAGAGATTAATGTGGACAGGAATGCACAAGTCATGCAAATATAGAAAATCATGTATTAAAAGTTATGTATTAGAACAAGAAAAAAAGTCTCAATTGGAATTTCAAGAGAAAAGTGACCTCACAGATATTTACATATCCATGTTAATGTGTTACAGAAATCCAGATAACACAGCTTATTATGAAATTAATTTACAATTAAGTTTAATCTTGCTTAACAGTTAGTTGAATTTAAAACAATTGGTTTTTCAAATGAACAGCAGGTCACTGGCCTACTTGATCATAGTTCGAGTAGAGTTCATAGGAGGTCACAATTGATTAAACTCATGTTGTTTGTCTGGAGCAAACTTACTTTTTTTGTTATTTTCTTTGCAGAAATATGCTTGGCATCTTCATATTCAACAATTGTAGTTACCTTAACTAAAAGACAGACAAGGAGGATAAAAGCCTTAGGAAGAGCATAAGGACTCCCTCAAACTCATTTGTGTGAGGGCTATTTGCTCACCAAAAGCTGCTTATCAGTTTTGATATTTGATGGTCAGTTGACTAGCACTTAATTCAAAGCAAAACTGTATGTATTTGTCACAGCCCCTGTGACACACTGTACAGCTAAGAGACACTGGATAACCCTTTAACCTTCAGTCAAAGTTAAGCTACATCTCAGTCAGTGTCTTTTTACTGCATATTTTGGAGAATTAAGAGAAATGGTATTCTTACAAATCTCGATGGACAGGAAGTCAAAACAGAACTTACCAGAAAATATGGATGACACTCCTAGCTCTTCCGCAAGGTACCGACAAATCACTTAAGTCTTTTTTTTTTCTCACCCTTTTCTTCTGTGAGTAATCTGAAGGGTTAGGCACTTTATTATGTTTAAAGTACTTAAATACATAGTTCTTGATCCTCCGTACAGAAAGCTGAAGAGACCTGTATGCTATACTTCCAGTTACATGCTTTTCCCTCTGGTATTTTCTGGGGCTTAATGTTCACTTAGCCAGTGCTCAGCCCACATCACTAAACACAGAAATAATTAAACCAACCTACAACCTAGATTGACTTGCCTTTTTTGCTGTTTGTCCTCATCAGTTTTGGATTTGGTATGTCTTCCAGAGAGCAGTCAGTCTAGAGAATATTTAACTTGTAAGAGGAAAAGTCTGTACAGTAAATGCACATCATTTGGATAAAGAACTCAAACTAAAAAGACATAAAACAGATACAGAAGTGGGATTGGCTAAACACCAGTTTACTTTTCATAAGCATACTCAGAGTAAGGAAGGAACACACAGAACTCTGCATTTGTGCCTGCAGATGATCCTAAAGCTTTAGGTAATGTTCATAATTGCAGCGTGGTTTTCTAGCCTTTCCATAACTTCTTGTATTTAGACAGAGAGCTAAGCAAGAACATTTCTCTGAAATTCTTACAGTAGAGCCAGAAGATTTATAATGCTATGTGCTGTGGTAAAACTTGGAAACACACTTACCACCGCTGCAGCAAGAGCCACTTCCTCTCCTCCTTGCAAGTCTGTAACACAAGAATATGTTATTTCTTTAAATTCTATCACTTGCTTAATTCTAAATTATAGGTTTCTATCTTATAAAATATGAAACTAAATAAGCAAATCAGGAGTACAGCTGTTTTAATAGTTAACCTTAGCTGGGATATATCTAACCTTTTAACAAGATTCAAGTAGTATAGACCAGTCAGATGTGGAATTCCATGGAAGGAAAAAAAAATGACAATAACAAGAATACATTAAAAAAATGCTGCTTATTCCAATCTTTGATCTTTAAAAGTCTATGAAAGCTTAGTCATGCAGTATGTAACTTAAATTTAAAGAACAAGAAAAGTCATACAATGTATTGATCAAAGCTAATACTTTTGGAGAGAAGTTTTCAAGACGGACATCAAAACACATACTCAAAGGCTTACAGTAAAATAAAGTTCTTCAAGCATCTTAGATATGATCTTTTCTGGCCCCTGCAAGTTTCACCTGTTAGGTAGATTCCAGAAACACCAGTTCTCACCAGAATATACATCCGATTCTGACTGTCCACTGCAGCTTAAACTGCTGCATAAATACAAGGTTAATATTAAATGTTCATCATCATATGTAAATAATTACCCAATCAGAGCTCAGTGGTAAAGAATTTCAAATTAGGAACAACACAAAATTAGTACCAAGAATTGCTTAAGTTTTTAAGTACAGGAGCAGTTTACTAAGAAAAACAAAACCTTGATATTACACAGGTCAAGTGGAGCTGATGAGAAATGCTTGCTGCTCCTCATCTGCAACTTCACACTACTGTTAAATAGCCTTTTAGCAGCAGAAGCAATCTTAAGAAGTTTGCACATTTACAGGTTTCCTTGTCTCAGTGAAGAGCACAGCAGGATGCGGTGCTGTTGACGCTGCTCACAGATATCAACCCATCACAAGCACTTACTAAGCAAGTCTTTTCTTTTCATTTTTCTGATTGCAACTGGCATCTTCAGCAACTCCACCGTAAATGCCTTCTCGGCTGTTTGCAGAAGCGAATCAAGTTCTTTCTTCATTTCCTGGATATTTTCCTTGGCTAAAAAAAAAAAAAAAAAAGCCTTTATTGCCACATGTGCTTCATATTTCCAGGTGTAAGCACTTCTGCATCACAAGGAAAGTTAAAATAACACCTGGCATAGAGCAGGTGCCGTCAGAGTGATTTGGAAAGAGCTTCGTTTAGCCCAACTCCACCACGTGCCTCAGAGCCAGACTGGGCAAGGACCCTCGGTGCGTAAGCGACATTATCGGGGCCTCGCAACATCCCTCCTTCTGCACAGACGCGCTCGAGGCACCCAGGCACTTACAGCCACCGCTCTCACCTGGAGCCCCCCCTTTTTTTTTGAGGGGGGGGCAACAAAAGTTACTAATGATGGGGAGAGAGGTGAAACAGCCGCTTTCTGCCACCAAAGGTGGGTGGGGAAGGCACAAAATGACTTATTTTGCCCCTGGGCGGAGGGGGGGGCGAAGGGACCGCTCTTTGCCCCCCAAGGGGGCGGGGGGGCGCGGGGTCCTGAGGCGCTGCCGGGGCCAGGGCGCCCCCTCTCGGTGCCGCCTCGGAGCCCGCGCGGGCGGCAGCTCCGCACCCCACCGCCTCGCGCGCCCCGTTCCCCGCGGCACGACGCGGGCCTACCCTGCTGGTCGAAGTCGCTGAGGAAGAGCGCGACGCGTTGCTCCTTCTTCTCCCGGGAGAGCGCGCCGCGGTCGGGCTCCACGCCCGAGTCGGTGCTGCGGCGCCGGCCGGAGCCCGGCGGCCTCCTCAGGGCCATGTCTGCGGCGCGCGCGCCCGCGCCGCCTTTGTAGGGAGCGGCGGCTCCCCCCGCCGAGCCCGGAGCGCGGGGGGGTGGGAGGCGCGGACGGGCGCGAGGCCGCGGTGCCCTTGAGGGGGGCGGCAGCAGCGGCTGCACTTGCCGTTTCCTGGTGGAACAAAACAAAACGTGGGGAAGTGCCGCGGGTTTGTGTTAACGGCTTCGAAAACAGCCGCTGCCGACCCTGAGGCACCGCCGCGCGGGCGCGTCCCTGGCGCGGGGTGAGTAGCGGCGGCGCGCGGCGCTGAGGCGGGAGCCGCCCGCCCTGGCGGGTGAAGCCCCGCGCCGGGCCGAGGTCCCGCTTTTCACGTGTTTTGTGGTGGTTTTGCTCAACATTCAGTGTTTCGAAGCTAGCCACAATAACTAGCCCGCTCAGCCTGATGCCAGCTCGATCGGCTGGTTTAAGTTATAGTCAGATAATGGCCATATTTCATATAAACCTAAAGTGGGGAGTTTTCTGGTGTATTTAGTGCAGTGACAGCGTCCGCTGAGCCAGCTGGGACACGCTACGTCACTCAGACAAACAGCAAAGCTGTAGAGAACCTGCCTTATAGCTTTTAATATCAGACCATGCTCCTCTGTAAAGCTTCTGGAAAGCAATTGAACTTTCTGGTTCAGAAAATACCAAAATACCTGCTACAAGGAAGTAAGTAACTTTGCTTTTTTTGGTACTACTGATATATGCATATATGCTTAAGAAAGTAGGAATACCTTCCTTTTCCCTGTGCTTCATTTTCTTAGCATTTTCTTACTTATCAAACAGACACCCCAAAAGAGTCTGAGGTGCCACTTCAAAATGGGTTACTAAATAAGCTAACTCTTTAAAAAATAAAATAGTAAAAAGGAACAACCAATACCAAACAAACCTCTCAGCAAACTTTTCAGCTGATCTTCCTTAACCAACTGATTGATCCTTCCTTCCTCTGAAGAAATAAATGTGGTTTGGTCAATTCCTGTTTACAACACCTTACAGAAAGAGATAATGATTAATTATGAACACAAAACATGTCTCTGGCAGTCCCTATAGGTCCTGCATTATTAAGAAATAGTTTTATGATAACAGGCAGGACAAATTTGGTGTCTGTAAATTCCAGCAGTATAAATTACATGATCTGGAAAGTGTAAAGTTCAGTCAGATACATGAATTTAAGTAAATACTAGTTTAAATGTGAAGTTAGATGCCTCACAGTGCAATCCAAAAATGTTGTTTGGTAACGCACGAAATGGAGGACTACAATTTTTTTTTTAATATGCACTTTATTATTTGGAAATCTCATACATGTAAAGTACCGTAGTAAGGAGCACCTGTAGGAAAACCAAACCTAGAAGCATGCATTAGAAAGTAAGAATTGTCTGTTACTAATGAAATAATTAAATATTAAAAATTAATAATGAAATACTTCAGACATTGAAAATAAGCCTGTTTTCTTAGCTTTATAGGATTGTTCCACAAAAATGCACATTTACCTTATCACAGGACATACAAATAATGTGGATAGACAGTAGAAATCACCACCCTTCCATATGTGTAAAAGCAAAATATTACCCTTACAATGGCTGAAACAGAAAAGGCACCATAATAGGACATTTAGAAAAAAAACTCAGTTTATGCCATTATATTTTGATTTAAAACGGTAAGAATTGCTGTCCTGGTTTAAAACAAGAAGCATTTGACACTTGTGAAGTATCATTAGAAAGCTGTAAACCTTAACATTTTTGCCAGGAGTATCAGGTCCAAATGCAAGGCAAATATAAAATCTATTGACATATTAGATTACAAATACTATCCCATGAAAAAGCTGTAGTTATAAAAATATAAAAAAATATTCTAATTCCCATTGATAGATCTTAGCTTCAATCTACATTGCATTACAAGTCCAAAGCCAGATGTGATTTGGACACATTCCTAGAATAGGAGAGTGATGTTTTTCTTATTTTTCTATCAATATTCTCACCTCTTACTACATTTTTGTTATTCAGATTTGTTATATTAGTGCATATTAAGGATGCAAAGTGGAGACTGCTAGCTGATAAAAGGTGGTATTTACCAATGGATAGTAGCAGCAGAGGCATTCTCAGTCTGTCATCCTTCAAAGATAAAGGCAGATTTTTTTTTCTCCAAGCCTCTAGAGTAGTAATTTCATCCACCAGCAGACCATTTTGCATTTATGAACCTTTGTCCACTGGCAGATGTTTGAGAACCACTAAATCCTTCAGTAAGGATCTATGAGGTGCACACACCTGCTGCCAGTGCTGCTTTGCAGGCCAGCAGCTGCTGCTGCAGGGAGGGTTATTGGCAACAGTTCCTATCTAAGTAGTTTGGCATGTTGTTTATTCACAACTCTCTAGCCCTTGACTTTAGTAACACGGATCAGCATAGGATGCCAAGGCAGCTACAGAGGAAGCATAACAAAGTGATAATGGACATGAAAGAGTTTACTTCAAATAATAATTTGAAATCAGTGAATTAAATGACATACTCTTAATGAAGAACCTTGGTAAAATGCTGAGCCTAAGCCTGAAAAATGTTTATGCTGTCATGGCTGAATAGTGGAAGCTCTGTTTGTTCAGTCCTTTATCTGTCCTAGCAGAAGGTATCCAGCTATCCAACTTCCAGTTCTAGCAGGGAAGATGTTTTCTTCCTATATGCAGGGAAAATAACATAGCTAGTAGAATAACAGAGGTGTACTCTTAGGTAGGAAACTGATTGAGCTGAGTTTTCAGATCATTCAGCCAATAATATGAGTGTGGAAAAATTAAGACTGAGGTGTAATACTGTTATCTCTTTGCTAGGTGCAAGACACTTTTCTTTTAAATACATCTTTTTCTTCATTATGTATCACTCCCCAGCATTTCTTCTGATAACACTTGTTAGTAGTTGCCAATTCAAGTTGGGTTTAAGCCAGCAAAGTCTTTTAATCTGAACAGCTGCTGTCCATTGACAAGGTGATAAAATAGTATTTTATTTTACCTTATTTGAAGTGATCGTCAATAATCATATCTTCTTCGAGGTTAGTAGCTTATTAGTTCCATGCATGTAAAAGATGTGGATGAACTGGAGATTCATGGCTTTGTTATTTGGAGTTGTTAAGAAGTTTTACCGCTCTCCTCTTACACTGGCAGAATCTGTGTTGAATGGCTCGGGAGTAAGAAGAACTAGTGTTTCTCATTATTTTTCAATTTCATAAAACTTGGGTTCAGAAAGATACCATGTTCACTCCTTTTCTGATCAAAACTCTGTATTTTACTCAGATTATACTGCAATAGCAGGACTTTTTTCATTTTTTTAGTAGAAGTTCAAAGGTATCCAAACACATCTGCCAAAGATGTGTTCTAAAGAATTTTTTAAAACAAACATGCTGTACCTACATGTGTTATCTGATTTGGTAAACACTACATACTTAAAAAAAAAAAAAAAAAAAAAAAAAAGGAAAAAAGAAACCAAACAATACATAGGCCTTTGATTTTTTTTTAGTAGAATTTTAAGTTGACAAGCATTTTCCTAGCTAAACAATTACCCCCAGCATTTCTGTTTCATAAAAGACCGTAACAGTAGTATTTTCATAAGCAGCTTCCTTCTCCCAACTATTGAGCCAGAAGTTCAAGAATGTAACTTCCAGTCAAGGCACAATATCATTTCCTATCTATCTCTTCGATCGCTTTCTTCACATTTTCCCCTTCCCCTTAAAAAAGAAAGGTGTAACAATGTCTTCTATATCAGACATTAAACTTAATTGTCCAGTAATTTATAACAGTATCTGAGATAGGTTATATCTATTTTGAATTGAGTTAAATTACATGAACAGCACATTCTCAGCACATCTTTGCTCATTTTCTGCATTCGCCTTCAAGGGAAGGGGATGGTAGGAAAAAGCCACAGCGCTTTCAAGCATATTTTTCAAGAAACTTTATGTGGAAGTCCTTCACTTTCTCCAGTAATATCTTCAGCTTTTCTAATGGAGGAAGAATGGTTATTCTGAAAAATAATTTTTAGAGAAGAAAAAATACTCCACATTATTTTCAGAATAAATTAAAGTGAGATCTTTCCATAGATGTTGATTTACTTTCAGGGTTTAGCTAGTAATGCATTGTTTGATACCTGCTTTAATGTAATTGTCTTATTTTTCTGCATTTATGGTCTAATTGAACTGTATTACTAATCTGTAGCATTTGGTTTCAAATGATAAGGTATTAAGGTGTTCAAAAACATGTTTGTTGAGTGATAAAAAGGATATCTCTAAAAAATCTCAGCAAGTCTTGTGTCCATTTTTGTGACAGTTATGACAATTGATATTGAGTTTTGTGGTCTTCAGGGGCTGCCAGTTATGAGTAAATGTAAATGTCGTATTGAATTGAAAATAGAAACTGCAAATTTTTAGTCTCTTTTTTCCTCCTTCAGTATAATTTGTAAATCAAGTTGAGTTATCAGATGTTTGCAAGAGCTAAAAATAGTGAGGATGCAAACAATTTTTTTTTTTTCCACTGGCTTTATTTCTGGACTTGCACCCATCTAGTAGGAGCAGATGGATGCAGATGTTTTTCCTGGACTGGCATGTGCCCAGATACCTACCCCAGCTATCTGTGTTGCAGAACAAGTGTAACTAAAACTAGTTTCTATCCTGTTACTGTAGACTAAATAAGACTGAGTTCCCTGATAAATTCCACTGTCAGTGGCTCAGATGTAAGTAAGGGCTACTTACTGAGTTTATGTTAATAATTTGGGTAATTATAAGGTTTTGTCCAACTTAAAGTTTTTCTTCATTTTACTGAAACAATTCAGCCTGTGCAAGGAACAGATTCATAGCAGAAGATATTGCAGCTGTCACACAGTTTCTCTATATGAAAACACTGATGAACTTGCCCATTTGGAGAAAGGGCAATTTTTTTGAGATCTTGGTCAACTTTAAAGATTAGAATATAAGCTATTGGTAATGTTTGCATTTGTGGAGAAGACACAAAAATTAAAGAATAAAAATAGAAGAAAACTATGTTGGCAAACTGGGAAAACACCATATAAACCTGAATAGCTCATCAAGCAGAACAAATCATCTACCTCATTTTTTAGACCCACAGAAAATATTCAGTAGAAAGTAAACATAGCATGAAAGAGATTTTTTTTTTTTTTTTAATTTTAGATTTAATCAGAAAGTAAAGTGCTAGGATGGTGCCCATCTTATTACAGCTCAGTTGATTTTAGCAAATAGAAACTGTACCTGAAATGGTAGCTTCCTTCCCTTTGCCCAAATCCACTTCCAGGTACAGCACAGATTCCAGTCTCTTCTAAAAGTTTCATGCAGTACAACATGTCAGGTGCCATTTTATGAGCCTAAGGAATAGATGCCAACTTTGGAATTAGTGAAGTCAAAATAATCCAAATATATAGGATTTCATGATTGCTTTTCTTCTTAAATCTTTCTCTTGCATTATTAGGTTTTTTTTTCTTTGCTAAATTGATGAAGAGCAAATCCTAATAGTTCATGCCACAAATTAAACAGCACTAGTTCATGGGGACGACAAAGCTAAATAAAACATTTACTTTAAAGTGAAGTTTTTAGATATTTTTATTATTCTCCTTGCCTGACTTGTAGCCAAAAATCTCAAAATTCTATATTGCAAAATCTGAGCTCCTGAAATTTGACATTTTGAAATTAATTGAAGAGAAGTGTGCTTCAATTTTGTTCCCCCAAAGCATCTTGCTGGCTACAAAGTCCCCCAATTAATAACTTTTGCTCCCCTTTTTAAAAAAGGGGAAAAAAAACCTTATGCATTATGTCATAGAGCTCCAGTTGGGAACTGAAAGACTTGTCATGTGGTGATATATTTTACAGACCCAAATATGAAAAAGGTATTGTACAGAACGAAAATCTGAAAGCAAACCTCTGAATGTCTGTCTCTTGCCGGGGCGTTGCACACAAGGGTTTCAATCCTGGTCTATGTCCTGCCTCACCAAACCAGGCAGGGGCAGCAAGGTGGAATTTAAACAGTTTCAGCCACCTGTCCATCCTATGACTCAGTCTCATTAACAGCAACCTCCTTGATTAATGTTCTGAACCTAGAAGCCTCACTAATATGTTGAAATGTGTGGGTTTTTTTCTTTTTCTTTTTTTTTGGTTTCCTCCTTTTAAGTAAGGATCTTGTTATATTTAAGATCATACATAGTGTATGAAATGCTGTTTTTGTAACTACATGAGCTTACTCTGCCTGGAATAGAAATTCATCATGGAGAGTGTCAGGCACAAGTGTGTGAAGATTGAAATGGAATGGGGGAAAAAAAAAATGACTGACCGACCTTTGCTTCCTCAATGGCTTTGGAAGGGATAAAGATCTGTGGGAAAGCATACATAGCTCCTTGAAGTGGGTTGCAGTGAACTCCTGGTATCTTGTTAAGCAATTCTTCTGTTATTTTGGCCTTTTGGGCAAGATTGTTCAAGACAGACTCCTTTTCCTGTAAAAAAGGAAGATGAGATTGACTAACTTCAAGTGGCCACAAGATTGCCAGAGAAAATTATGATGCCTCAAGAAGCCTACCTGGAATTAAGCACTTTCAGGGCTTTGCTGGGCTTTTAGAGCAAATGGTTTTACCTAAGTTGAGTGCAGTTGACCTTACATTTCTATTTAGATTTTAGTCAAAGCAAACCTATTTCCATGCTAAACACAGATGAAAAGCTAAACTGAGCGTTGATAAAGCTGGTCTGATAATGCCTTCTTAGCTTTTGGGACCCCTAAATGAACCATAAAAAGAATACGAAATATTTTAAAATTAACTCAGTATGATTACCTTTAAGATATACTTTATAGTTCTGTAAACTGGTGTTATTACAGGATTCTCCAAGAAGAGAAAAAAGTCTCTCTGTGCATATACTCTGTGCACATACAGAGTTCATGGTATTTAGCACAGGTATAGGAGGTACATGAAGGAACAAGTGTGTTATAGCTGACCTTTATGAACTGTGAATAAGATTCTTCTCCAGGTACTGGAGGATTCACTACAACATCCATTGCTGCTTGTCCTGAGACCGGAGGACAAAGACGAACAGAAAGAAGTTTAACAAGCTGTCCTTTAATTTCTGGATGCAAGTTAATGACCTCCATATAACCTCCTCTGTAGCCACATCTATGATTAGAATGAGCAGAAAAGATCAATTAATCTGGAGTAATAAATACTGGAAAAACAGTGAAAACAACTGCAAATGTGGAACGGCAATTAATGAGTTCATGCAATATGTAGCATTTAGGCTGCTGAAACAGTTATGTTAAGATAGAATTAAATACTGTGCCATTCATCCTAATAGTCCATATGGAGAAAACAGTGCACATGCACCTCCCTGTTAGGCAAGTTAATGACTAACTTGGATTGTTTGCTCTTCAGAACAAGAGGATGTGCATGTAGTAGAGTTTACTTAATGGAAAAACTTCTCCTTCCATCTCCTCCCCCCAAGAAACAACCAAGCCCAAACATTTGTAACATTAAACTTCTCAGTGATTTCAGGGCCGTTCACTTAGCTATAGGAGGCCGTATCACAGGTCTAGTTCAGACCTGTAAGATTGAAGCTTCATGGGAAAGAGGTGTTCAATGTTTGATATAAATACACTTGTAACGTTGCACTATTTAGTGATTTGAAAACAAATGAAAACTACTACGTGCTTTATTTATTTTTTTACCTAATATTTTTTAGTTCAAATTAACAGAGGACAATATATTATCTTCAGGTCAGTAACATGACAGAGGTACCCAACCAGATTAATCAGGAAGGTGAAATTTAAAAAAAAAAAAACAAACACAAAAACCAGACTTACTCGCCCATGTAGCCCTTGGAGGTGGAGTGAAAAGAGGCTATCTCAACATTGTTGTAGTACTCGGGCCCCATCTCATACAGAATCTTTTTGAAAGAATGAAACTGGCATCCTTCAGAGTACACATTGTCCTGGTAAACCTGAACAGTCAGAAGGCATTAATGTACTCTGTTCCCCAGCTGGGGATAAAAGATGGCCTTTTAGAGAGTCATCACTGAAGAAACAGTATTAACACTTAAAGCATTTAGAAGACACAAGGTTCTTTGTTAAGTAGTTGTTATAAGGATACATTTTTATCTCATGTGGTTTACTTAAGAGTTTGGCCTTTGAAAGAACAGTGAACTTTTTTTTTTTTTAATATAAACTAACCTTAACTTATTTTTTTTTCCTTCAGTTTCATTCAATTCAAGTAGTCTGAATATCATGTAAGTTTTTAGGTCAGTTCCAGCCAAATTTTCTTTTTGTGTCTCAGCTGAAGAAATACTTTAGTTCAAATCTAGATCAAGCCTCCTGTCCTCTTTGCATTTCTGTTCACGTGTTAATATAATGACAGAGAATCCATTTCCTGTTCTTAAAAATATTGCCACACATAGGAGAAGATTACACCTCATGCATTACCTCATCAGCCAGAAGGAAAAGTTTCTCTTCCCAAGCAAAGTGTATTACATCTTCAATGCACTTCCTGGTTTGCACTTGTCCTATAGTTTGTGTTTTAAAGCAAGAGGAACAAAGTTAGTAGAGAATGGATGCAAATCTTCTTAATCTGAGGTAGACTACTAGTTGTTCAGTAAGATCTCCCTCTTTCTCACAAAAGAGCTAGTGAATTTTAGAACGCAATTCATTACAGCACTGTGAAAGCAAGGTGCACTCTTGGAGGAATTATGGATCAAGGTAACTTAGTAATTTAAGCAAAAGGAGTCTGAGGAAACCATAATTATTCATTAGCTTAAAAATATCTGTTTAACCAAAGCGCCGCAGACCTGTGGGATTTCCTGGGTTGATTATGCAGAGGACTTTTGGATTGCAATATGACTTAGCTTCATTCAAGGCACGGCGAAGTTCATTCACATCTAGTGCCCAGCATTTTTCTTCATTCAAGTAGTAGTTCACCTGGATAGCGTCTAGATCAGATATGGCCGCTGAATATAAGGGATATTGTGGTATGGGGATCATCACTCCTGTTCGGGATTTCCCACCGCCTGACACCAGGATCTTTAAAATTGACTGGGGAAAAAGTAGGGAGGAATTAAAAAAGAAGGAAAAAAAATTACACAGACCAGAAGTAATAGTAAGCTCTAGAAAAAGTTACTAATCTTCATTGCTAAAAAAATGCATAGTATATTTCTATTCTAGAAGCATATAGTCATTTTCCTTATTTCAAATAAAGCTACTAGCTGATTGAGAATCGTCTAACTCAGTTTAATGAAATTCCTCTGCAGATCATAGCATCTGAAGATCACATCTGATCAGCTGCTGCATTTGGGAAAAAAATGAGCTCAAGACTAGACGGAAGGTTGAAAACAGGAATATCAAGATCAGGATTTTCTGCTCTGCCTCACTGGAGTTTGTAAGTCAAGAAACCTCAGATAGCTGTTGCTCAATAGTCTTTTTATCCTGCTAAGCACAAGAGGCAGAAATAAGAGCAGGGACACAGGGAGGTTCACTGCTGGAACAGCTCTGTTGCAAACTAGGAGCAAGAGTGATCATGACAGTACAAAACCAGAGATACATGACGGTTTTGTCTTCAAGCAATACAAGAGACCACAAGCGCGAACATCTTAGGATGGATGTCTAATGTGTCATATATAGCTTATGGCCAGAAGATACAGCCCAAAATGTAATGCTTATGATATGGTCAGCCCAAAGGATTTACCTCTGCCCAGAGGGTGGTCTGTCTGTGTTTGTGTCCATGTATAGAATTTTTTAATGCGAATTAGATAAAAGAGTGGGTTTGGTTAAGTAAGTACAGAGATTTCTTGCCCTTATGATCAAGGGAGAATTCTGAAGGACAGATGCAATTAAAGCAGGCATCTTTATCAACATCTAATCGATTATATAAAATTAAAAATGGTACTTGAGATTTAACAGCAATATGCTCTAAAAATCTGCCTTTCTGGGCCTCTATCACATGCTACTTCGGATGCTAAGCTAATTATCTACAAGCTAAATCATCATAAGTTTAAAAATATCTACCATCCAAAAAAGTATAATTGGGGTCAAATGCAAATGTAAAAAGTGTTTAACACTGTCCCTTCCCAAGTTTTGAATAAGTTGTTTTTCTATCCTTAGAAATACCAAATAATGAGACTCAATACATTGCTGGCGAAGTCAAATAAGACTAGGATAGACTTGAGACGCTACACTGCCATTCCTGACAAGCTGCCAGCCTAGCCCTTGGTATCACAAACTCTGGAAATCCCATTCACTGAAGAGATTTAGCTGTTCATATGAGAACGCTGTCGTTCTGAACCCTGCCACTAGATGTCATTTAAAAAGCGTTTTACAAATAAGCTTCAAAAGGCTGCCTTAATAAAAGCAAAGTATACACTGCTTATTGTAGTGTCTGGAAATATATGTGTGCAAAGGAGAAATATAAGAGACAGGTTTTGTTTTCGGTTGAGGATCATCTTTGAATCTTGGTTTAAGTCAAAACTTGTGAAGTTTTTGTTCATTTTTTTGCTTTTCAAAATGAGCAGGTTATGGAAATCAGTGTTTGGGATTTCCATGAGCATTAACCTGCATTAGCAGGCAGTTTACTAAAAGAATTCCTGTAACTTCTCCCTTCCAAGGCTGTTCCATCTTCTTTCTCCCAGTGATTCTCAAGACTTCAGTGTTTATGCATCTTAACTACTGAGGGCACAGTATGAATGGTCTGAGTCTCCTAAATGTATGTTTAGGTACCTTTATAGTTTGCACTACCTACACCAAAAAGTACTAGTTAGTATATGTAAAGATACTTTGTTTCTACGGGCCTGTTTCTGAGCTAGTTTCATATATCCACATGATTGGATATCCCTTTGATATGACTTCAGTATCTGTTAGATAAGCTCAAAGGAATTCATGAGGCCAGACATACAAAAAGATCTGTATTTTCTAGATAACTAGTTTAGTTATAGTTCATACCAAGGAGAAATAGATTTAATTTTAACACTTACAGTAATACCATCACTTGCCCCAGTGGTAAGATATATGTTATCTGGATCTGCAGGAACTCCTCCATCTCTTCTTTCAATATATGAAGCAACATCTTCACGGATACAATTTATACCTTGACTGGCAGTGTAAGATCCTGTGAAGTACAGAACATGCCGTTATTGAGAACAATGAATACCAGATTTGCTGTGTGCTAGGAAAATTCCTAAGCTAGTAGTGTATGAAGAAGTTGTGTATATATTTAAAAATATATATATGAGAGCTTCGAATTCCCAGAACTCGTTTTTTCTGTTTTATTATATCTTCTTTTCCCCCAAGGTATAGGAAAAGAAAGTGGTTTGTTCACAGAACTGCAAAAACAATTAATTTGTGATTAGGCAAGTATAATAAGTATAATTGACATACAAAAGTAAGTAAAGATTGATAAGGTTAAAAAAAAGAAGAAAAAAAAATTAGTCAGCTTTGCAAAATGGGAAAGCAGTCCCATTTTGACTATTTTCAGTCACTTTGTTTATACTGAAATCTACCTGAGAAGAGCAACCTACTTTAAACTGATTAAGTATCTTCCTTATCCCCCCCACATCATTTGCCACAACTGCTTTTCAGTTACTTGTAGGAGGAACATCTGTTGTAACCCATCAGTATATAAGCCTCATGTGAAGTTTACAGAGCACAACTAGTAATCTTAAATGAAGTAAGATGCTATATGTGCAGCATGCTGAACATGCACAAGCCTGAGACAAGGTGAGAAATAGATTCAAGCTACAAAGCCCCAAACTGATGGACGGTGAAGCGACAAGTGTACGTTGAATTTAGAACACTGTCGTGAAGCTGCATGATCTTCTTTGCTTGCTGGGTGGAGTGGAATAATTGTAGTGACTTAACTTTCAGAACTCAGTTATATGCTAGTCGTCAGCCTGATAACAGATCCGCTCTACCTCTGCAGCAGCATAATCTATAAAGACAAAGAACCTTTGTAAGAAGTGCACAACTGCATGCACAAAGTTCCCTGATGTCCTAAAAATTTACCTCCACAGGACTAAAAGGTATACTGGGTCTCTACATGGATTTTGGACCAGTGCTAAAAAGCCGCTTTGAGACTAGGATAACAAAACCAAGCTGCCATTTTGTACTGGGCTCCTTTGAGAGCTAGAAAAATTTTGATAGTCCTAGTCTAAATGCAGAGTTGTCAAAGCACAGGTCCTGTAATGACTTTAATATGAAAGTATCTTTCTTCTTGCAGAGAGAGATTTTTACTCCTTCTTGACTCCCACATCAAGCAGCAAGCTTCTTCCTCAGAATTAGAGTATGTAAAGATGCTACAAAAGGTTAAAACTTCTAACGAAGACAGCCTGTCAGCAGGATTTTCAGAAACTGCATTATCTGTGTCTGCTGTAAACACAGAAACTTCTGTGTTGCATTGCCAAATTCGGGGAAAAACAGGCTTTATTGGAACATGGCACAGCACTTAAGGCTGCTTTCCCAAGAAAACCAATTTACCCTTCACAGCCATTTAGAAAACAGCAATAAGTTAGATGTCAAAATATCAGCAAGCTGATAGAAATAACCTCCATTCAGCTGTACATCCATCTACCTCAAATGTGTCTGGTGGAGAGCTGTGTAATACAGAGATCAGCTACTGTATTAAGAGAAGTGACCGATCTGTGATACTGAAAACATGAGGGGTGGAGAGAAGGCATAAACCAATAGAACAGATGAAAAAAAGTGATTGGTGTTTGTAGTTCTCAGAAATTTAGAGGAGTAATTGCTCTTTGGAACTTACTATATCAGGGAAAACAGCTGAAGTTAAGACTGTGTTCAGAATGATCTTCTTGTTTGAATATTAAGACTGCTTCAGGCCAGCTTTCTCCTTGCCTGCTACTAAGCTAATGGAAATTATTTGAAATGTGTGGTCTGATGAAAAAGGGATTTTGTACAGAATCAACCTATTTCTGCAATATCGCCCAAGCCTGAATTCCTTTCATTTCATTCCAGAAGCTTGAGACCAAGACCAACATTTTGAGAACTTTCAATGTGTCCTGGCAAATAAAATGAATTTAAAAGGCACTACAAAGAAAGATTGAGGCAAATTTCAAATGTATTCTCAGTAACGCTCACATGCCAACAAGTACTGTGTTGGTTGATTGTTCCAAGAATATATAGAAGGGATTGAAATGTCCTGTGGATTGGAAAACCAACTGCACATTTCCCTTTTCCCAACCTTTTCTCTATCCATCCATCCATCCATCCATCCATCCATCCATCCATCCATCCATATGTATACATGCTGTACAGACAAATCAGTTTTTTCCATAGTCCTCCATATTTTTATAGCATTGCATATTTGTTATAAATACACCTTTAGAGATCTTCAGCTTATTTAGCTTTGAATAGTTTTTAGCATCTGTAAATGAGGGCAGTTACTGCCAAACAAGCCCCCAAGATGAGTTTACAACTCTGGCAAACTTTTGTTTGGTAGACTGATCTTTCTTAAAATCCTACATATATTCTGCCAATTAAATTAGAAAAGTATTTCAACATTCTATAACAATTTCTCTCTGTTGGTAACTGAATTTTTATGTTCTACCTATAGAAACAAGATCAATGCCTAAAAAAATATATTCTGTAGTAGCCTGTGTTGTTAGAAATATTCCAAAGCTGAGAGACTGCTAATGTAACTACTATTTAGTAACTTTTCATTTTTAATGACTTTTCACAGAATGTTCTCTTAAAATATGCCAAGGTAAATAGGCAGTGCAATCGCAAAGATTGAGGGAGATGTCAGTTATTTTGAAATGTGCTCTGAAATGTCACAGTTAGCCTCTCTGTGTACCTGAAAGAGGGTAATTAAGTGTGCCACATTCTTTGCTGTACCCTGTGGCTGCAACACTCTCTAAAGTAGAAATTCTGGTGTCGTTCTTCAGATCCATGTGAATAGCCCAGTTGCTGGGTGATCAGCAATAAAGAAGAGAGGAGACAGCTTTAGTATTTTCTCTCTATTGAGTATGCAGAGCTTGTATATACTTATGTGCATGTGTGCATACCCTCTTGGAGGAACAGTGGTTGAAGAACTGAGTTATTTCAAGGGTTATTTTGCTTTGGAGACATGGGAGTTTAACATCGTTGGTTAAAACTATCTGGACTAAAGTAAAAAACTACCACATTTCAGCTGTTTCCCTATTTTTTCTGCAAGGTATTATCACTTTCATACCTGAGAGATGATGAAATAGTGAACAGTCTCACCTGAATTAGCAGGAGACATATCTGTCAGCTTCCAGGATTAACAGATGTCATAATCAATAGCAATGAATTCATAGGAATGAATCAACAGCAATGAATAGACATATTCGTAGGAATGTAGTACTCCGTGCCACTCCTCTAATACAGAAAAAGCTCAGGGCTGAGTTTATGGCTATGCCTAGATATTGGTGTGATGAGGGCTCTGTAGCTGTACAATCGTCATCTTGTCCTCCTAGTTCCAAAGTTCATCAAAAAATTGTACTATTAATCAGGCCACACCGTGAATCTCCCCCTATCATTTTGCCATAGGCCAGGTCTCATTTGACTTGTAAAAACCATATAAAAGACAACTGGGAAATTTCACCACTGGACATTATAAAACTGTTTTAGTTGATTGTATTACAAATAGGATCAACTGAAACAGGGGCTTACCTAAGCTGTTTCCTCCACAGCCCTGCAAGATCCGCCTCGCTCGCTTTTTGGCGTCTTCTGGAAAACTTGGGCTGTCCAGCAGGTTTGGGTAAGTACACAGTGCCACTACCTAGATTGCCAAGAAAACTATGTGAATTGGCCACTGCTCAATGGTTTTTTTAAGCTGGTAATATTTATATTAACTTTCCTGTGAAGTTAAGATCATGATTACTAGCTAATTCAAAACAAAGATTATTGATGAACAGTTTGCAGGGTGTTTTTTTATTTTGTTTTCTTTTGAGGGTAGTGCTTGCAGAAGTGAAGAATTATTACCAGGTTCTAAGTTCTGCTGATAACAGCACTTATAGAATTATTAACTATTTGTATTACAAGTATGGTAAAGACTGGAGTCCAATTGACCTATGCATAGTGCAAGCACAGTAAAAAGCAGTTAGTAATTCAGAAGAGGAACTGTCTAAACAGCTCCATCCTTCATTCTTTGTGTATTATTAGCTCACTTTCTTGTCAAGAGATCAGGAATTAAAGTATGGAGCAGAACTGAGAAATATGATCAGATTTTAAAACCTTGGTTGCATGTTCTAATAATCTTTCGCTGAGTAATTGCTTGTTCTTATCAATTTTATGGTATGGGAAATAATTTTAAAAAGAAGAAAGAAGAAAAACTGATTATAAAAAACATAGCAAAAGGAGAAACACGACCTAGCAGAAATAAGCTTATGAATCAATAGGAGCCACAAAGAAAAGAATCTGGAGATCTTGTTAGAAATCAGCTTCGATTTGTTCTAATCTCGGTCTCATTTTTATGCATGCATGTGGGAAGGTGACTAAAGAGTTAGTCTGTGTGCACAGTGAATCTGAACAATAAGTCTGAGTTAATTTATAAGAAACTACTCTTTATAGCTCACTAACAAAGTTTGTTATATGGTTCAATTTTCTAATCTCATCATCCAGCTTTGTATAACCCCCAGTTTGACATGGCTTTAGGCTGTCTTGAAACTCTCTGAGTTTAGTTTATAATTGGGATTTTACATATGTGTGTAAGGCATGCTCATCAACTAGTGCAGTATTAGTTTTAAAACTTGCTTTATTGTTTGGGAACAAACATCAAAAGTGGATTCTGTTGCTCTCTTCCTTTGAACAAGCTAATCTACAAACTAGTGAAATGCACAAAGCTAGTAGCTGTAAAACTAGCTGCCCCCGCTGCCTGCATGCAGACCTTAAAGGATGCTGTCAGATTAAGAAAGGGATTTGTTTTTTCCCTTAACCATGACCTCTTTCTTTTTTGAAGTCTGCGTTATTGATAACGAATGTGCTGGCTCATAATATAGAATAAGTGATAGGGGAAGGAGGAGAGGGGAATGATCTGAAAAGCAAGGAAGGAGAATTACTACATTTAGAAAGGGGACGCAGCAAGCAAGTTAAAGGAGTTCAACGCAATCAAAACTTGTCATTCTTTATGAAAGAATAATTTTAAGACAAAATCTAAGGAACCATTCATATGAACCCACAAATCAAACTCATTGTAAGGTTTTCTTGGTAGTCTAATATAAAAAAAAAATGAAACTGGGGAATACATGTTAGTCACAAACACTGCGGCAAGTCAGTGTCTCTGAACAAAGTATCTTATAAATGCCATAAGAACTAGAAATAATATAATATTCTTACCTGACGAAGGAAGGTGATGGGCCTCTGTCCCATTGCATGTGCATCTCCAATGTTGGCTTTAATTACTTCAGTGAAAGGTTTTTTAATTCCCTAAAAAGAGATCATGCACAATGTACTGTTTGTGCTGAACTAGGAGAAAAAGAATTATTTTTTTTCATATCTGTTAAATAGCTATTATGAAACAGTTCATAAAGTCAACACAGCTAGAATGTTCTAGTAAAGCTTAATGCATTTCTTATACAATACTGCCAGTACATTTTAATGCTTTTCAGAAATTCTGCAGACTATGACACATTTTTAAATGAGCCCTTTTTTTTTTCCCTGCTAGCTACAAATGAGAGATTGACTTGCCTGGAAACTATACATGTGAGGAACACAAGATGAAAGAAACTCGTTTTAAATTGTCAGTATTAAAGCAACTTGTTCGGTGCACCTGAGAGAGGGAGGGATGAGCAAAGAAGGCAGAAAGATTTGAGAACATTTGAGAAATCCAACAACAAAAGAAGCCTCAGAACTTCACATTCTTTTTAGAGTTTGTTTATTCAGTGCCTGCTTATTTTCTGACTATACTAGATGTCCATTATATAATGACCCTACTTTTACACATACAGATCTGTCAAACTGAGGTTTCTTATGGTAAACAGCAGAAATGCTAAATAATCTCCCATTATATGAACAATATTTCATATATTTCTCCCAATAAGATTATCTGAAAGTAAAAGCCAACAATACAAGAAGAATAAATGAGCTAGGTAAGGGCAAATTTATAACTTTTAGAAGTTATACTTAAGAGATTGTAGAAGCTTCTAATAGTGATACAGTATTTGCATATGTATTATAACCTGAAAATAGTAGTTTTCTGTACAGAAAAGTACATTAAGGCAAGATCTATTTCACTGCAGAAGACTAAAGAGTCTTTGACCAAGTCAGCAACATGCCTGTGCTCTGAGACCATTTGAGACCCTGGCAAGCAAGAAAACCTACAGGAGGAGTTAGGCCACTGGGATTGTTGCTTTCCCTAGTGATAAAGATGTTTCTGTGCTACATATATATGTGTGTATGTACATGTCTTTATATGTGTATGTAAAGAGCTCATTTGTTATTTATGTGGCAGTAGGCTTTGCAGGTGCTCTGGAGGCAGACTGACAGGCTTGGAGCTGCCCTGTGCCTCTGATTTTCCTAAGCAGGCGGAGATCTGGGAAGGAAGAAGCTTGCAGGACAGGAACCCCGCTAACAAGCTCTGGAGCAGTAAGTGCCAGATCGATTGTCATGTCTACTGAGGAGGCTGTGAGCCACATGAAGGAGAACTGAACAGCTCCCAGCCCTACAAACAGCCACTCACTCCTATAGGCTTCTGGCTTCAGTGGCGCCAGACCCTGTCTTTAACAAAGTTTAATCTTTATCTTGGGAACAAAACCAATCTTCTGCCATTTACTTTTTTGAAATTATTAGCAAAGAGAATAACTGTGATACTCATTTTTCAAGCTAAAGATGAGAAAGACATTAGGATGTACATCAGGAGATACAAATATTCATTAAATATTTTAGTTGCTCTCTTTTTGAGAACAAAAGGACTTTAATAGCATAAAGGAATCCTCCTAGTTTTGGAATTGTCCTCTTGGAGATTTGTTCTTTCTGCAGTTACTGCTGCTATTCTCAGAGGAACTGCAGTCTTTTTTGTGAAATGAAAGACCTCAGAAACCTGAAGTAAGGCAAGATTATTCTAACAACTCTATCAGTGTTCTAGGCATTGGAAGTTACAGGATTTTCGTACATGAACCAGAATTCTTTTGTGTGTGGTTAGTACAAATCTTGATGCAGGAAACTTCAAAGACAAGTCCTCAGTTTTTATACAGGCCTGTGTTATTTCAATTTGGGAATGGTGATAGGTAGAGATTTGATAGCAGTTCCCTTAAGGAGGCTATGAAAATGCAAAATACTTTTAAACACAGAAAAGCAACACAATGTTTCAGCTGTTTGTGCATTTCAGCCCAGTCCTGGCTGTCCCTCACTGTTTCACTTTCATTGCCTTTTCTTTGTGCCTCCTCTCAAGGCTTATCTGGCTAAAACATCACACTTTGAAACAATTTCCTCAGCATAAGCAAGGCCTGGGTTTGCCACAGCTTGCAGAGCAGGCAAAAACAAACATTTCAGCATAGCTGAGATACATGCTGTAGTAGCCAGGTTGCTTGTTTGCTTCTCCCTGTCCCTTAAAAGCTCAAGAAAACATGTCCCGGAGGTCCTTAACTAATAGGGACATGAAGGTCTGAATTAGCAATCCAATGTTTTTATTAAACCAGCTAACAGCTGCAGAGTCAACCTGACCTGCTTACCGCAGAATGAGGCTTTGAGTTTGTGTAATGAATGTGCAATTCAAGCTGACATGAACTATTGCTGAGAGGAAGGAGAAGGCAAATTCTGGATTTTGACTTGGAATAGCAGTGATGCCTCTCATGCTCCCAAGTACTAGATGAGGAAATGCATGTTCTCATCATTATTGGTAGATCGCATTCAGGGATTACAAAACAGGAGCTGTCCTCAGGTCACTTCTGGCATCTTACACACTGTTCAAAGTACATTTCCCTTCAAAAATACACCTATATGAATAAACCCCTACATTTTAGCATTACTGTGAATGATAGAAACAACCATTCTGTCTTAATGAGGTCAAAAGCTCCTGTCTGGGAGATACTTTCTAACTGTGCATTCCGTCACGTATTCAAAGCAGAAAATTATAGGATGGCGACTTAACGCTTAACATCTTTCATTACTGAGCATGCCAGTCAATCATGTGTCATTTCTTTTTGGCATATCACGTTATATTTCTGCATGTCATTGTGTAAGTTGTGTTATATCTTTCCACAGATCTGAGGGACATATTTACAAGTTTTGATTCTAAGACAGAAATCTTACTATTGCATGTAAAAGCCTGAAGAATTAGTGAACAATCTCTACTATCTTTTAACCCAAATACTCTGTCAGAGGAAGCCTAAAATTATTGCTGTTTAAGTAAGAGGGATTTGGGTGGTTTTATTATCTAAACAGAGAATTGAAGGGAGTAAAGAAAAAAAATGAATTTAGAGTCAGTTGCATTAATGTAAGATGAATAAAGAAATTAATTTGTGTACATTATGTGATTTTGGAGTTATCACTTCACTATTCCTACAGTGGGACAGAGGCCTCAACCCAAACATAAATTGCTGTATATTACACATGCCACCTTTCTGAGGTGTTACAGTTACAGTTTAGAAATTAGTTTCATTCTTTGCCCTCCAGCAGAGAATATGACTTATTTATTGGTACTAGAAATAAATGGTTATTATTAGAAATTCATGGTCACAGTTATCAAGAAACCATGTAGAGAAGTGAAGTGTAGACATGGCTTGCTTGTTCTTCTTTCCAAGTACAGTGC